GGTGGTGGTGATGGTGAGCGGAAAGATCCCAGATGTGTCTATGAAATGGCAAGAAAGTGAAATGCCTCTCTCTACAGGAGTGCACAGATGAAGAATGCCAGTGCTGTCCCAACAGATACAAGATTATGCACAAACTAGCACCAGTTATTTTGGAGTTAAAATAAATTATCATGTAGCTTTGAGTAAAATTGTGTAGCCATGCTTCCCTGGCATCCCCTGAGACTTCTCTCTCCCTAAGTAGAAGTGATGGAGAAAAATCTGAAGTTCTAGAACACACTGAAGTATTTAGGAACTTTAGTGAATTGCTCTTATTGGGGATGACTGCATCTTACTTTATTTTTATAATATTTTTATTGAATTTTAGAGAGAGAGGAAGGGAGGAGAGAGAAACATTGATCGGCTGCCTCCTGCACACACACCCCCTACCAGGAATGGTGCTAGCAACCTGGGCATGCATGTGCCCTGACTGGAATCAAATTGGCAACCTATTGGTACACAGGAGGGTACCTAACCAACTGAGCCATACCTGCCAGGGCGGGATGACTGCATTTTAGATGTCCACACCTAAGGAGGACCCAGGCTAAATGATGAAGGGTAGGAAGAAAGGGGACAGGGTGCATTTATGATGGAAGGAACCTCTTCCCAGACCTGGAGGTCATATCACACAAGTAACAACCCTTTGCTCTCACTGAATTCAGGCCATACCTACTGTGCGAACACCCACCATCCTACCTGTGAGCTGGAGACCACTCTGCTGCCCTCAAAGCATTTCTAGCCTAGGGGCGGCCTTTCACCCTGACAGTCAAACTTGGCCTACCTGGTAGCTCAGTTGGTTAGAGCATCATCTTGATAGGCCAAGGTCACAGGTTAGATCCTGGTCGGGGCACATACAAGAATAAACCAATGAATGCATAAATGAGTGGAACAACAAATTGATGTTTCTCCCCCCCCCTTTATCTTTCTCAAATCAATAAATAATTAAAAACAAACAAACAAAAAACCTGGCTTACCTATCATTGGAGCTAGAAATTGAGGGAGCAGGTGGCCCCCAACCCTGACTCATCTAGAGGACCACCATGCTTTAATCTGAATTTTCCTCTCTGGCCAGATCCAGAGGATTTAAGCCTGATGTGTCCTTAGTGGGTGTGAAACTATCCTCATCACTTAACATTTTGTTTCAAAGCTAAAACTTGGCTGCCAGATGGCCTGGTAGGTTTCCATTCCCAACTCCTTACCTTGGGCTTTCCCATTTGCCATCCATTCAGTTATTCAAGTATTTAGTTAGAGAGCACTTTCTCAGTTCCTGGGATTTAATGACCAACCAAGCCAAATTAGCTCCAGCCCCAAATCTAGAAGCTTCCATTTCCTTCTAGGTGTCCTAGTTTCCTGATGCAATAGCCCAAAAGTCACTAGAGGCACTTATTCAACACTCCCACCAGCCACATGACTGACTTAGAGCCATCTATTTATTCTCTCTGGGCCTCAACTTCCTTCCCTGTCAAGTGTTGACATTAAAACCTATTCTCCTTCCTTCAGGGGCACACTGTGAAAATTCTGTATGCTCATGCCTAGGGCTTTAGAAAGGTGGCCCTTGTCAAGAATCTCTTCCA